TTCGGCCCTCGCCTTACCCTCGAATGGACTCACCCTTCCACTTAGAGTCACTTCGGGACTCATCCTTTCAATTAGAGTCACTTCTGAACTCACCCTTCTACTTAGAGTCACTTCGGGACTCATCCTTTCAATTAGAGTCACTTCTGAACTCATCCTTTCAATTAGAGTCACTTCTGGACTCATCCTTCAATTAGAGTCAATTCGGGCCTTCGGCTCTCGTCTTCCCCTTGATTGGACTCATCCTTTCAAGTAGAACAAAATTTCGAAGCAGAAACTGCTTCACGAAGCATTCCAGCTTCGGATCCATAACAGGATCCAGCTTATCCTCCCACAAAAATTTCCCCAATATACAAAATTCACTCTTAAACTCTTCTCTGGGTTGCCCCGCATGGTCAGAGACGGAGAAAAATTTCGCCTCTCTGCCATCAACTTCACCTGTCAATCATTTTTCCTCTCTCCCTCACATCATTCTCCGGGTACGGTACTCACCCCCACAAATATTCGAACCTCTGTACATTCGTCAAAATGTACCGAAATATTTCGAAAAAAATATTTTTATATCCAGCTCGATGAGAGCTTTCGAATGATATCACATTCGGCATATCTATCTTGATTTCTAAAATTATAATTTTTCGGCCGAGAATTTCAGCTGAAAAAAATCACTGAAATTTTCAAAAAATCATATCTCGCCCAAAGTAAACCCTTTTTCAAAATTTTAAAATCCCATAATATGCAGAAAAATCTGCTTTATCCAGGAAAAATAACTTCGGCCCGAACCGTCTACAAAAATCTTGAAAAAATTTCGAAAAACCAAAAAATTTGGGGTTTTTCGAAATTAGACCCCTACACCTCAAATTTTGACTTTTTTCGAAATTTTTTTGGCTCAAAAAATTTCTAATTTTTTACTCTATTTTATAAAGGAAACCCCATTCAAAAATCCACATCCCAAAAAAAGTTATTCCAAATTTAAAAATCCCTCAAATCCCCCAAAAGGGGTACCCCTTTTGAAAAATTCGAAGGGTCAAAAATTTTCGAATTTCGACCCAAAAAGTGCCTATATGGTACTCTTACACACGCTGAATCCAAATCCGGTGTCAGAAAAATTCTAAAAAATTTTTCAAAAAAGTTATAGCCCAAAAAAGTTTCGCGACATTTGCGAACATTGGCCATAACTTTTTCAGACTCAACCGGACCCCGACATATTATACCTTTTTGGGACCGCCAAAGGACGCTCTACAACATAGGATTTCAAAGAAATCCGAAACGACAAATTTTGACAATTGGAGCCATCCTTCCCTATTTTACATCGGGCCATTTTGAACGGGGTGGGGACAAAATTTTGGAATTTTGACCTATAAAATATGCTATATGGTACTCTGACATGCGCTGAATCCATTTCCGGTGTCAGAAAAATTTTAAAAAAATTTTCGAAAAAGTTATAGTCAAAAAAAGTTTCGCGACATTTGCGAACATTGGCCATAACTTTTTCAGACTCAAACAGACCCCCGACATATTATACCTTTTTCGGACCGTCAGGGGACGCTCTATAACATAGAATATCGAAATCGAGTTTCAATTCACTTTTCGCGATTGGAGCCACCCTTCCCAATTTTACAAGCCCGAATTTTGAACCTTTAAATTACTGTAACTTGGTCCAAGCTTTCATTTGAGCTATTACACGTGAATTGTCGATGAGTTTCGAAAATTTCGACTTTACCGACAGGGGGGGATTTTCACCGAAATCCGGATTTTTGCGCACCACTAAGTCCCTTCAAATTGGTATTTCGACTTCGTGTTTTTTACATTCGGCATCCCCATTCAATGCTTCAGTGCCCTCCCAGCGGAACTTTCCCGCTAACTCCACTCATTCAAAAGATAGCCCCGGTACCTATAAAATTTAGGTACCAGGGGGGTACCTCAGAAACTTCGACATAATTTTCCTAGATGCGCCATAAAAAGTTGTAGGACTAATGTACAACTCAAAAAAATTCATTAGCAAACGTTAATCAGATCTGAGTTTTTTTATCCATTTCCCCCCAAAATGATTGGCGTCCACCCCAGAAAAAACCAATACTTTTATAGGAATATATAAATGAAATGTTGCAGCCATTTTAATACAACTCATTCAAAAGTCGTATTCGAATAATAATAAAAAATAAACAGGTAATAGATACAAGTGCCAGTGATGTCAAAGTTCCAGTTCAGTTCCGGAACTAATTAGTTCTAGTTCCAGTTCCAGAACTATAACTAATAAACTAGTGAAATATATCTATGGAAGTAGAGTGTTTTCGCAATTGGATCTCAGTGATACCTATTTACAAATTGAGTTAAACGAGCGATCTAAAAAAAGTGGCGTGTACCAGTTAGATGTTTTTTAACATACTCAAAAACTAAAAAAATTTATCCCAGAATTTGAATATTTTTTAAAGATAATTTTTATATAAAGCTGTATCTCTATTTGGCTCTTGTTCAGTTTTCTTGTTTTATAAATTTTTAGTGATTGGATTTTTATAATACGAGTGACACCCTCCTACATATTTTAAAACTGAAAAAGAGCCAATAAATATAAAATCTTGATAATTTAAAAAATTGTAATCATGTTCAAAATATCTAATAAAGCCGAACACGAATTTAGGATAACTCCAAAAATTAGATACTCCTCAATTTAAAAACGATTTTTCAGTTGAAAATGAATCTTAATTCGTGTTCGACTTTAGCTAAATTTTTAAATTTTTTTGAAAAGTAAAAAAAATTTTTTTTTCGTTTTGATTTTTATCTTTTTTGTTGTTTTTTTTTGTTTTTGTATAATGAACTCTCTGAGTTTTTAATTTTTTTACTTCAAAATATTTGTAAATTTTTTTTTCATTTTTTGTGTTTTTTAAATTTCCCTTCTTTTAAATAAAAAAATATCATAACTTTACATTTTCCCAAAACTAATAAATCTTCAATGTACATGCGCTGCAATAAGATAAAATCCTAAAGCATAAAGACCAAAAAGCGACAAAATAATCCCCCAATAAATCCAAACTCCACATTCCCATTCAACATAACGTTTTTTTCGAATATTCTCTTGACCTTCAGTCACGTTGTTTAAAATATTGTTAAGGCATCCTTGCTTTTTAAAATATTCCAAATTGTTCTTTATATCATCATTGTGGAAGCTTATGGTGTTTTTACATGTTTCCCCATTCGATTTATTTTGACAGTAATTACCTAAATATTTTTAATTTTCTGACTATGTCCAGTTAAATGGAATGTTCTCAACAGTGAGGTGATTTTTGAATACATTATAAGTTATATTATTTCAATGCGACCCCATATTTTTGGGCCAAGAGATTTTTGTGTCAAAAATTTCATATAAAATAATAGCCCGCCCATTCGAAAAACAACTAAAGAGCCCCCTTAAAATATAAATTTAAACTTTTTTGGATGCTTCGGCGTGGACGTAGTTGACTATCAAACACCGGTTGATACGCTTCTGCATCGTCGGATCTAAATGATGGAACGGATGAAAATTGTTGAGGATTTTCTTCGTCATATTGAACAGGACTGTTTTGTTGAGGCTGAAAATCTTGTTGAATTTCTCGATGAATTATTGGCGCGTTCTGCCGTTGACGACCTATAGCCATATTATTTCTTTCTGTATTTCGATAGTATGGATTCTCATGATGATATTGATGATGTCCTGGATAGCGATGAGGATTACTTGGCTGAGAATGAAAATATTGTTCCCGTAGTTCTTGCTCGCGTTGGCGATGAATTGTAGGAACAGAGTTTTGCCTCCGACGTAAAAAATTTTGAAAATTAATTTCGGGGAAGCGACATGTCAATTCAATCAATCCAATTGACGGTAATTTCAAACACATGAACATAATAATCACAATACCAGCTATTGAATGTGCAATAAATGCATCAGGTCTTTTACCAAAAATTGGTCGATTGCTATAATAATAACGTTTCTTTCTAATCAGCTGCGATTGATTTGTCTTATTCTTAAATTTAATTTATTATATGATTACAAAACCAATAACAGATACTTTTCTATTTAGGATAAGCCTTGGGGAGAATCAATTACAGCCTTGGGGAGAATCACTCCAAATTTATGATAACCAGAGCGAGTTTTTTTAGGTTTTTATCTATCTTTTTGACAAAATCATGACAAACTCCAATTATCCCATTTATAACACACTCCCAATTTGCGATTTAATTTTTAATTCATTAGAGTTTATTTTAAAATTAGCGTTCGAATCTTTATTTGAATAAAAATCCGGATACCACTATAATGTGTTTTATTTTCATTTTATTTTAGCAAATATTTCTAGAACTTTTTCACGGCTGCGCCCGAAAATGTCCTACCCCGAAAATATCCTTCTGAACAAAAACCCCGAAAATGTCCTAAAGAACAAAAACCCCGGTAATGTCCTCCCCGAAAATGTCCTTCCCCAAAATGTCCTAGCGAATAAAAACCCCCTAAATGTCCTAATGAACAAAAACCCCTAAAATGTCCTCCCTCAAAAATGTCCCATCTCAAAATGTCCAACTGGGTAAATATACTCAATCCGTCGAACTGCAAATTAAAAACCGTAAATAAATCTATGTGAGTCGGCGATTTATGTCATAACTTTGTCAAATCAGGTTCAATCACGTTGATTTTGGTGTCATTCGATGCAGCTCGACGAGCTCTTTCGAACGAGCTATCATTTGCATATTCGAAATTCGGTTCGGGATTCGAAATTCGGTTTAGGTTCGGGATTTGACTTTTTCAAAATCTTAGCTCAGATTCGTAATCAGCATATTTTTTTACACTAGAAAATTCCTTTTTCCTATTTTTAAAATTTTGCTCGAGGAAACACTTTCTCTTCGGGTTTGCCCAAGTTTTTGTTCAGTGGGACATTTTTAGTATGGGACATTTTCGGGGAGGACATTTTCGGGGAGGACATTTTCGGGGCGCGCCCTTTTTCACTATTGTAAATAAATGCACAATAAATGCACAAGCATTTTTAAATAAATTTAAACCAACATACATATATTTTAGGCATAAAATATTTCAAATTTGGCCAATTATTTTTCTCATTTTCAACAAAATTTTCAGCCAATTTACTTTTAATATTACTCGAAAATTCCTTAATATATTTAACTATTCCATCAATAAACTTTTTAAGTTCATTCTTTGTCATTTTATTTAAATTGTCTGGAGCTCTGTCGACATCCTTTTTTGATAAACCTATTTCCTTGTGATTTTTATTTATTTTTAAAGCATTGCCGAAGGCTGTTAAATATGGAAATAAGTCTAAAAATTCTTCTCTTAATTTGTTTTTATCGTTCAAATTTTTGACGAAATTATTGAGAAATACTTGTAATTTCTCCGACAGATTTTCTCCATTCTTCTTGATTTTACTGAGTTTAAAATAGAGCTTTTCTATGGATGTTTTCTTCGTAATAAAATTTTCAATAACAACCACAAACGAATTAATTTGTTTAAACTCATTTAGGAACACAATGTTTTTGCTGTTTGAAGCTTTATTTCTTATCCAATCAATTGGTCTCTTCAAATAATTGAATATTTTCTCAATTAAACGATCCACAAAACTTTTGTTCTCCCCATTATCAAAAAGCTGTATTGCTCGAAAATCAACAAAATCTGCTGAGTAATCATTACCGGAATCTCCACTTACTGAAAATATATAACATTTGTTAGTCCTGATAAATTACAAAAGGAATAAAATGCAAAAACATAGCCTTCTACAGATTAAATGTTTTTTAAAAACTAAATAATACTTACATTTAAAATCAACATCATTAATCAAATTTATCATTTCATTGATCAAATCATTAACAAAATCACTGTTTTGATTCGATTTACTTCCCTTATATTTGTCAAACAATTTAATAGACATTTTATCCAACAATTTCTTGATTGAATCAAAATTAATTGACTTAATCTTGTCTAATTGCTCGTCAGATATTTTTAATGAAATTAATTTATTTTTGTTCTCTTTATCATCTCCTTTCCCTACAGCTTGATTCAACGCTAGAGCTAATGCTAAATATTTTGCATACAGATAATTTGAGCTGAATGCGATCAAATCTTCCATTTTTTGGTTGTTTATCTTAATTCTTCCAAATGACTTCGAATCTAACTTGTCCAAAATATCATTATTGATTTCTTCAATAAGATTTTTGACAACAGAAGAGCCAGGCACTTTATTTAGATCAATAAACATTTTATCATTTGAAATTTTGACTTTCTTCTTATCAATTTTAATGTTAAAAAGATTTTCAACACTTGTTAAGGCATTTGTGAATGCTACAATGTTTTCTCCATAATGTTCAATGAATCGATTGTAGGACATGACTTGGGAAGCATTTTCTATAAATTACAAATTCAAAGGAATTAAGAACACGTTCGAAAGATATTTCACTTACCAAGATTTAAAAAGCGTTTGCACGCGTATTTAAAAACTTTGTCATTCCATCCTTGAAGATTAAAATTAGCATTGTTTATTTTGTCTTCAAGCTCTTTCCTTTCATTTACTTTCATTAGATGAGTAATGCTTTCCTCATCATTGCTATATGAGAGAATAAGTGTTCGGATCAAGTCATCCACATGTAAAGATGTTTTATCTTGTTTTTGATTTTCAAAAGCTTTCATCGCGCAATTGAAACGCATAAGAAAGAAATTATTTCGTGTTTTTTTATTTTCCAATATTACTATATAGTCGGAAATAGTAGGGTTCTCCAGGCACCTTTGCTTAAAATTTTTTATATAATTCCGAATCTCTTTCATTGGATTGTTTAACCATCCAATCTAAATTTAGTGAAATATTTTAAAGCCATTCAAGAACTAGAAAAAAACTTTTAGGAATTTACCTTGTTTTCTATTGGCTTTTCATTACAGTTTGGATCAAAACGCCAATTTAAAAACTGATCAAGTTGATCAGCATCGAACGGAATTTGACCCTTTGAAAACTCTTTAAAATCGACTTTTTCATTGACCATTTTAACCAATTTTAAATCTGGATGAAGAGCTATCATTATCTTCATTGCCACATTTAAATCCTCTAATTTTTGAGTGGAAACAATTTCTAATAAAGCATTTGTGTCTTTATTTTGAATTGATTCGTACATTGTAGTTGCAATATACAACGGTTTGGTAAGCAGAAATGATCGGAGAAGTTTTTCGTTAATCTCCGATAATTCGTGAGGTTTTGAATTTTTCATTTGAAAAAGTCCTCTATCTTTAGTGAAAAAATTATCAACGCATTTGGTATAAAGATTCAAACGAGATTTAGCGTCATTATTGTTAATTCCTCCATTGAGAAGTTCCTAAAAATTTTTTTAAAAATTATTTTAATTTCTTGTGAATTGTTGAAAATATATAGATAAAAAAGTACCCTGATTGGATTCCCAATTTTGCCTTCCTCACTCTTCATGTTGTCGCATAATGCAGCAATTCCTCCAACTCGGGCTAGATCATTAAACATCGCCATATCATTCAAAAACATATTTACACATTTCTCTTGTTCATCACATTTACGAGCATTTTCTAAAATCCAAGCAATTTGATTCTTTACATGTTGATCAATTTCATCTATTTCGGAAGAAATGTCGAATTCTTCCTTTGTTTCGAAAAACTCATCATTTTCTTCGTTAGACCCTTCTCCACTTCCATCAACAATATTAAAACAATAAATTAACAAAATGTAATTTAAAACAATTAGTTTTAACATTTTTAATCTTAATTAAAACAAGTAAATATATTTTCAATGAGAATAGAAGATTAAATCGAATCAAGATGTTTAATTGTTATACCTTGGTATTTAAAATTAATGAGGATTTACTATGTATGTATATATTTACTCTCTTTTAGAATTATATATTTTAAATGCAGTGTATCGAAAATAAAATTTCTAAATAATTTTTTAATGAGGGTTTATTCAATTTTTATAAATATTTAAAGGCAGTTAATAGCTCGCTCCACTCCCAACCCCATTCTTAACATAGATAGTCAGAGGAGTCGAATTTATAGACTATTAAAGTATAAAAGTGCAAGTATTCGTGGACTGGTCGTCCCATTGGCTTTTATTTATCCCATGAATGGTATCATTAGAAAATAAAATTCTAAATAATTTTTTTACAATAAAGATTCATTCAATTTTTATAAATATCTAAAGTCAGATAATAGCTCGCTCTACACCCAACCTCACTCTTAAAAAGATAATCAGAGAAGTCGAATTAATACATAGACTATTAAAATATAAAAATTTTTGTCGCATGAATAGAAAAGTGATAGGCTATTCGTGTATCGAGTGTCCCATTATTTGTCCCATGAATGGTATTATTAGAAAATAAAAATTTTAAATAATTTTTTATTTTTTAAATAAAAAGATTTTAAAAGAATCCTATCAGAGTTTGGCTCTCTTTACTTATATGCCATATTTTCTCATAAGTCGAAACGGACCAAACATGGTGTCAATTGAAATATCTAAGCGACTTGAGTCGAATAACACCAAAATTAACGAAATCTGACTGATTTGAAATAGTTATGAATCCATGAAATCATACTTGATCACTCCAAATCCCCTTTGATCTTACCAAGCCACTCTTAATTCCTGAATAAATAACGAATATAGATTCAGTTAGAAAATTTTTTTACTAAAACCGATACCCCGACAAGAATCTCGACCATATCTTAACTCCGTACGACGAGATGCACACCCCTACCATTAGGGATCAACCCCTAATACATATAAATCTATTTGCCAATTTTTTAAATAATAAATACATTAAAGCGTATAAGAAAGCAACAAATACATTCAAAAAAGAGATATAATACATACCTGAAAATGTTAATACATATACATATTACAAATAATAGTGTGAAATTTTTTGTTTATTAAAAAATAAATAATAAAGCAAAAATTAAACGATCTAAAAAATTAAATTTTGGTATGGTAGGACAATTACTAACAGTGTAACGGTGATTTTGTTTCTCTCTTTAATGGTTATCAAAAATCCGGCGACTATTTAATAATTTTTCCAGGATTGAGGCCCTGTCGGAAATTTTCATTAAGAGAGAAGTATTAGATAAAGTATCTAATAAAGACATCTAATAAAAAATCAATCTAAATCACTTTTAATCAGTTAATCTTGAATTCTTTTTCAAAGCACCAAGAATTTCAGTTGCTAGGTGGCTGTTGATTTAAAATTGAATTAATAATTTTATTTACTAATTACAGATTGGATTTTAGATTATAACTAAATTTTTTTATTATAACTAAATTAAATAATTTTTTTGGTGAAGAAAATTCCCAAAGTTCCCGATTTTTCAAAAATATTTCGGGAATCGGGAACCGGAAATCTCGTTGAACTTTTAATTCAATATTTCCGAAAATAGGGCCGACCCAAAAAACGTCGGGAGTGTTAGTTTTTTTATTTGTTAGTTTCTAGTAATATACATAATTTAAATTATTTTTTTCACGTATAACCTGTTGTAGAAAATTTAAAACATAAGTTATCGAATTTGCTAGTTGAGTAAGCTATACATAAAAATTATTTATTTTGTTATTCACAAGTTATTCATTAATTAATTTTTTAGAAATATCTTTGAGGTCATATTTAAATGCTTCTCTAAGATTTTTTATTGAGAGTTTATATGCGGGGTTTTAATTTGTGAATTGTTTTAATCAACAATTTGCATTTGCCTAGAAAATACAGGGTCCGTAAAAAGTCATCCTTATCCACTTTTTTGCATAAAAATTTAATCATTGGAATTTTGCCAAATAAATTCAAAAATTTGTTTGCAACTGAAAAAATCTAAACGCATGATCTACAAAGGCGGAATTTCCTTAAAAAACATCAAATTATTTGTTTCCTGTTAAGCAGAGGTGGGTCGGAACAGTCAGAGGTGTCGGAAATCGGAACTGCCGGAAATCGGAAATGGCTCAAAAGTCGGAACTCGGAAATCGGAAATCAAAATTTTTTTTCGGAAATCGGAAATCGGAAATCGGAAGGAAAAAAACGCCGGAAATCGGAAATCGGAAGGCGGAAATCGGAAATAAAATTTTTATTTTCATAACTGAAATAATATGTAAAAGAATTTATAGAGTTAATAGGGATATTTGGAGATTAAAATTGAGGACTGATAAAGGGATGAGATATATAGATTTGTAAAGGAAATTTAAGGACCCACTCCTGCTTGAAATACAGAGCTAAAGTTGTTAATAGCCGAAAATGATCGAAGACTCAATCCCTCGATATCACACCCAGATCCTATGACCCCTTGAAATCACACGATATAACTCAAAGTCCACCTTAATCCATCCTAATCCTCAGATATGCCATTTAACTTCCATTTACAGCGCCGCAGGCAAAATTTTTGGGATTTTTGGAAGATCCTTAAGCCAAAAATCTTCCATTTTTTGCACCGCAGGCGAAAATTTTGAGAATTATAGAAGGCTAGAAGACAGATTTCTTCCTTTTTCAGCGCCGCAGGCGAAAATTTTAAAAATTTTGGAAAAATTGTTAGTCGGAAATATGCCTTAAAAATTGTCGGAAATCGGAAATTTTCCCAAAATTTCGGAAATCGGAAATCGGAAGGAAAAAAACGTCGGAAATCGGAAATCGGAAGTCGGAAATCGGAATTCCGACCCACCTCTGCTGTTAAGCATAAACATAGGAAGCTACAAATTTTATAAATATTAATAAATTTACACGGTTTTGTAGTCTGCTATTATCAATAATTGCTGGAACCAACTCAAAATCACTTCTTATTGTTTGATATTGCTGAAGAAGATTTCGAGTTAGTTGGATCTACATATAAAATTTCGTCAAGTTTATTTTTAAATGACTTGTAAACTAATGTATACCCTCAAATAATTTCACAGGGTAATTATATATATTGACCGTATTTGGAACTAAATACTTAAATTTAAGAATAAATTTAATATTCTGTAATAAAATTCCGAGTAGGTAACGTATCAGAATTTGAAATTTTTTGCGGATACTGGATCACTAAATCACAAGATTCTAGATAGATATTATCATTAAATTCATTTATTTGAAGGGTTATTAATTAATCTCCATTTTACAGATTAATTAATATATAATGTAAATTCAACCAGATATTCAGATCTTTCTGTAGTTGACTGCAATTGTGCGACTAAATTATTGTACCCTTGCGCAAGATTAACCATACTCATTCTTGCCTAAAAATTACTTGAAATTTTTGATTTCTTAATGAAAAAAAATTTTCCCTAAATTTAATCTTGCTTTTACTATTAAAAAAATTTTAAGCCCGAGATCTGGATTTCAGTGATTTAATGTTGAATAACGTTAATATAAATATTTATAAAAATTTATTGCCTCTGCTTACAAGGAAGATTGCTTAAGAGGTATTTCTGTTAATAAACCATTTTACTGTAAATGTGTAATCCTAGTCTAAAATAATTTTCTAATATAACCTGATTTAAAATTTCTCTATCAATATCTTCTACGAGTTGTGAAATATTTGCTCGCATTACTGCACGCTATAGAATATTTTTTGTAAGATAATTTATAAGATAATAATTTAATAGTCGAAAGCAGTGGTGGGTCGGAACAGTCAGAGGTCTCGGAAATCGGAAGAGCCGGAAATCGGAAATGCTCAAAAGTCGGAACTCTGAAATCGGAAATTAAATTTTTTTTTTGGAAATCGGAAATAGGAAGGAAAAAACGTCGGAAATCGGAAGTCAGAAATCGGAAATTTTCAAAACTGAATTAATATATAAAATTTTAAAGCGGCAAATTATGTGCATAAAAGGAAGTGACTGACTAGCCAATTTTTTGTGTATTTATATTAAAAATTTATAAATTATGAGTAATAAATTTACATTATTTTCGGTCATTCCTTGAGCCGATGCATATTGCTGTTCAAGATTGAGAGCATGCTGTGCCTAATAAAATTTATTTTTAATATTATTACAAAATACATTGGATTAGCGAACTTTGAAAATCCTAATTTTCCTAATTGATATTTAGTATCCAAGGATTTTATAAATTTATAATGATAAATTTAACCAAATTATGCAATTCAATAATATGATGTCCTTGTCTATAGATATTAAATTGAGCGTTTAGATGATCGGATGTTTCTTGAATTAAAGCAAGAGCCCTTCTTTCCTAAAATTTATTTTGAAATTTTATTTTTTAATATGAACTCATTTGGAGAAACAGCAAATATAAATCGACCTCCGTACTTCGAAAATTTAAAATGACTTATTTGTAATTACATACTTACAAATAAACTTTTAATTGGATGGTTTCTGTTAGAAAAAATAGTTGATTTGTTTAATTATTCACAGTAAACGGGCCATTTGCCCGAAACTTGAGTAAAAATAAATAAACTCTTAAGGTCCGTCAGGTTTGCAAAAAAGAGTAACCTGTTCTCTTCTGCTTAATTCCGCCCTACCATTATTCGACACAACATCGAATACAAAAACAAGCAAAAAAAGAATAAAAGTAATAATAATTTTATTGCTGATCGAAGACATTTTGTCTATAGTAAAGAATTTTAGTATTTCTAAATTTAAATTTATTTTATGAAATGAAATGTAAAACTTAGTTTAATACAAAATTCATGAGATAAAAAATTTATTTATAAATGCTCATAATACACGCAAATCCCTTGATATCTCTGTTTAACACCAAAATTAATTATCATGCAAATCTTTAATATTTCTGTTTATTATAT